TTCCCCCCTCCCTTAAATATTGAGAATAGTAAAATTAAATTGTGTAGTCTATTTAATACATTTCAATTTTTCCTGCTCAGCCATCCCTCATGAATATAGAAACCATGATTACATGATGTGGTCTTAGAATCATTTCATAAAGTCATTCCATGTGGATTCCATATGGAGTCCATATGGATTCCACCCTTAAAATGGTATAGAACATATAGAATAGAGTATGGAATCCATGTGGAAAAGTATGGAATCCATCTCCCATTCCATGGAATCCATCCCCCAAAGTCATGGAATCCATCCCCCATTCCATGGAATCCATCCCCCACTCCATGGAATCCATCTGGAATTTGTGCAGTCCACCCCCCATTCCATCCATTCCATATGGAATAACCCAGGGAGGGTAAAGTACTGATAGATGGTGAGTATATTTCCATAGTTATAGTTTCAATATCCAAAAATTGAATCAAGCAAAATGATGAAAATTTGAGTGAGTTAGAATTAAAGTCATTCTGGTACAAGTTGCACAAACAGATATTTATACCAAAATGGATTTGGTTATATCTTTCTCAAATCTTAACCGATTTTGATGAACCAAAAATCCAATTAAAGTAATAAAGGTGGTTACAATTCTATGTAACGCACATAACTGTTTAACCAGTTGCAACCGATTTAAACCGGTCTTTGAATGGTTTTAAAAGATTTTTGAAATGAGGCAACTGGCAACCAGACTAGCCCCAATTTTGGGCAACTGCAACCGAAAAAAAGACCGGACCATGGTCCGGTTCAGTTTGGTCCACTGATCTTTTGTGGTTCTATGGACTGAACCTTTAAACACTAATGTTGGATGTCACTGCCCCAAATACACGGCTGAAGAAAGGTCTGGATTTGTCACTAGCATGCAGAATACCAGTGCTCCAAAAATGCGGCCGAAAAAATGTCCATATTTGTCATTGACTTGGTGAATGTCACTGCCCCGAAAATGTGGCTGAAAAAACATCCGGATTTGTATTTAACATGCTGAATAACATTGCCCTGAAAATGCAGCCGAAAAAAATGTCCATATTTGTGATTAACTTAGTTAATGTCACTGCTCCGAAAATGCAGCCGAAAAAAACATCCGGATTTCTGGATTTGTATTTAACATACTGAATGTCATTGCCCCAAAAATGCAGCCAAAAAAATGTCTGGAGTTGTAGTTGACTTGGTAAATGTCACTGCTCTGAAAATGCAGCCAAAAAAACATCCAGATTTGTATTAGTGCAACAGTGTCTGAAATTTCAGATGTAATTTTGACAGGGGCCAGACAGCCCCTGTGGAATGCTCCAATGTCCAAAATTTACTGTACTTTACCCTCCCACATGGGTTCTGGTGGAGTGTTGGAATTCCATTTGGAATCCACTGGAATGGTAGGAATCTCAGATTCCTGTGGATTCCACTGGATTCCAAGTGGAATTCCGACAGATTCCAAGATCATTCTGACACATTCCAAGTGGAATTCCAACACATTCCAACTTCATTCCAACACATTCCAAGTGGAATTCCAACACATTCCAACTTCATTCCAACACATTCCAAGTTCAATCCCTGAATAACCAATACTTATCACTCCTACACCCATTACCTAACCACTTTGTGTAACTTAGACCTTAGAATTTCATACAAAAGTGATGATTGAACATACATATTGTATTGATAACTATGTACAAAAAGTATTGAACTAATATAAGGGGGAGGGAGGGTATGGTGGGGAGTGAGTGAGGGAGGGGGAGGCAGTGGAGTGATGGAGGGGGGGGAGGGAGTGGAGTGATGGAGGGAGGGAGTGGAGTGTTGGAGGGAGGGGGTGAGGGAGGGAGGGGGGAGGGAGTGCTGTGGTGTGATGGAGGGGGAGACAGTGATGGGTACTCACATGGTGTCCCACCACTCATGCTTGCCATTGACACATCATCCTCATCCTGGTCGTTGACATGTCGCAGTGGTGGTCCTTCGACACATTGTCATCCTGGTCGTTGACACGTCACTGTGCTCCTCGTTGATGCATCATGCTTGTGCTCGTCATTGTTGTGTCGTCCTGGTCGTTGACACATTGTCGTGGTGTTGATTGTCATTGTTGTGTTGTTGTGTTGTGTCATCGGCATCATCTGTTTCTATGTGGTTGGGTGGTGGTGCCAGGCTGTTGTCGCCGTTGGTGGGGGGTTGTGCTGGGCCATCGTTGCTGTTGGTGGGTGGTCCATGTCGCTGTTCGTTTCTCATTGTGTTTTCCATTGTGTATGGTTGTTGTTGTGCCATTGCCGTCTTGTGTTGTTGTGTTGTGCTGTTGATGGGTTGTGTTGTTGTTGTGTTGTGTTGTGTCATTGCCCTGATGTTGTCTGTTGGTAAATTAGGTGAGGTGGGTTGGGAGGGGGGGGAGTGCTCACATTGGGTCATAAAGAAATGACAAATAACGACAAATCTGTTGTCATTGATTGTTTGGTTGCCATGTTGCTGTTGGTGATGTGGCACCTGAAATCCGTGTCAAAGAAAGAAAGGGGCAGGGATGGGCTGGCTGACTCACCTGGCTTCACCATCAGGTGACGACACATCATTGTCGAGCAGCTGTGGTGATGTGGCATTGTTGCTGTTGTTGTTTGCGTATGCTGAGGTGGGTGTGGGCCGTTGACGACAGTGTTGTGGTCATTGTTGTTGGTTGCATCATCGTGGTCATCTGTCATGGCCATCATCCATCATCATCATGGGTGGTCCTCTCAATGCTCATTCACCTGGTGGGGCTTGTGACGTGGCACTGCCACATTGTTGCCATTGTCATTGGTGTGCACAGCATTGGCAGTTGATGACAATTGAGGGTGGTTGATGACAAGAGTGGGTGATGGGGCTGTAGGTGATGTGGTGGGGAAGGGGAGGGTCATCGTGGAGGATGGTGGTAGTCGAGGAAGAAGGGCCATGGTGCCATGTCTGGAACCAATTTTAAAAAGAATCAAAAATCAAAAACTCCATATCTTGTGCACTATAAATTATGTTATTTTAGAGGGTGGCTTAGCTCAATGGAAAGATCTGATTAAGACTGGTTCAATTGCTGCAGGCTGAAATTTCTTTTCTCAAAAATATATTTGCTCTGACTTCTTCTTACTCTCCTATTTGCATATTTATGCACCAAAAATCTCACACCACCACTTATAAATTTATAAACACCAGAAAGTATGGATATAAGTAACTCAAACCAATAGATTGGGAAAGAATTCATGAGAATTGACATTTTTCCCTTCCACCTCTTCCTGCACATGCATACATCTGATCCTCTCTTGCAGAATCAATGCAGACCATGCACCTCCTTTTTCTTGAAGTAGAACTGGATAATCCTAGTTGTGCTTTCTACTGTAAAAATTTACCTTGTGCATTTTGGCCAAAAGAAATAGGAGAAATCCTCTGCTGAAGGCTCCTCTGGGTGTAAACTTAGAGGTTTTACCCAACATATATAACCATGCCTGAGGACATGGATGCCGAGGAAACTGATGCAATACCTGTTGCTGAGAGTGCAGACATATTTACTTCGATCCAAATTTTCTTTCCCCAGGGCTGTTAGTGATGTTGATTCCCAATGCTCTCATTATAGAGTGGTACCTACCACTTTTATGATAAAATTTGGGCAAGTGCCTGCACAACTTTTTGGACACTGCCCAGGTTTTTTATGAAATGAGAAATGTAGGGCAAGCATTATGAAATGTGTTTCATTCCCTCCCATAGTTGTTTTGTATCCATTTTATTCCTTCCCTATACCTTTTCATAACTATTTCTTTTTTGTCTGGCCATTTATTTCATTGCCCCTCAGTCCCATTTCTTTCCTGTTTATTTGTTGCCTAGCCTTTCATTTCATTGCCTCCCCAGGGTTATTTCTTTCCTACCCAGTAATTTCTTATTGTTGCCTAGCTATTTCATTTCATAGTTGTAAATATCTTCCTGGGACTTGATTATGTAATACATGTGATGCCTTGTAAAATGTCTTTACCTTGCTTATCCCTTTGCACCCTTATCATATTATGGTCTCAAATTGAAAGTTATGTAGAAATGGGGCCCACACCCTCTACTAGCAAGCATAACAAATATTGCACTCATTTGACAATTAAAACCCTGTTATTTCATATAATTAATTAAATAAGTATTGCTCTGGGAAGAATGAAATAAAGGAATGAAACCATTACCAGGCAAACATGAAATGAAATAGCTAGGCAACAATAAGAAATTGCTGGGTAGGAAAGAAATAACCCTGGGGAGGCAATGAAATGAAAGGCTAAGCAACAAAGAAACAGGAAAGAAATGGGACTGAGGGGCAATGAAATAAATGGCCAAACAAAAAAGAAATAGTTATGAAAAGGTATAGGGAAGGAATAAAATAGATATAAAACAACTATGGGAGGGAATGAAACACATTTCATAATGCTTGCCCTACATTTCTCATTTCATAAAAAACCTAGGCAGTGTCCAAAAAGTTGTGCAGTCACTTGCCCAGACTTTTTCATAAACAATGGTTGATACTAGTGCATTATAAATGTATAAAAATGGTTCAAGAGCTCTGCAGCATAGCTTGGTGCTTGAATCCTCTGCTAGATTTTCCTCCTTTTATCTATTCTTTTTTTTAGTTGATTTATGGTAAAAAATTCAAAGTGCTCATGCATTTTATAAAAATTATTCTTACAATTGGCCTTTCCTGATAACAGGGAGCCATAGCTTTGAAATTAGGATCCTGAGTAGGTGAGAACCAGACACCATGGAGGGATATAGATGTTTCTTCCATTTAATTTTTATTTGTGATCTGGCATCTCAATATGAGTACCTCTGCAATGGCCTAATTTTTTAGTGCTACTTTGCATGTTCAACAATGGAAATTGGTGCAGTAACAAGCAAGATACATGTTGAGCATGCAGAATTAGTATTAGTAATCATGTGACCCCAGCAAGATGTCACACATAAAAGATCATTTAAAGATGCCTAATTCATTCACAATAAGCCGGATATAGACATAAATTCTGAAATGGAAGGTAGGGTCTGATGGAACTACCACTTTGAGAATTATGTCCAAATCGGGCATCTTTTTGGTTCCAGACATGGCACCATGACCAGAAGAAGAGGGTTGAGGGCTTTTGATTCCACCAAATTGAGCGTCGGTGTTTGCCAAGGCTTGTTTAGGAATGTGCAGGTGAGAGCCACTTGTATGGCATAATAATTCTAAGCCTTACAATGGTTATATGGCTCAGTGGTAATTATGCTGTTGTTTGGTCATGTGATATCTGTGGAGCCTATGGTTCAATCCTTGCTCATGTCATTATTTTTGTATATTATAATAACAGCTCCAAACACTGCAATCCTTTGGAATTCCAACAGAATCTGTTGTATTCCAATGGATTCCAATGGAAACTATTCCAGGAGGCTCCTGGATTCCAACCATTTCCACCAGATTCCATCGGATTCTGTTGGAATTTCCATGGAATTCTGACATTCCGCTTGGAATCCACCAGATTCTGCCGGAACTCATGGGGGATGGTAAAGACCTCGAAATTTAGTACTTCAAGTACCCAAAAATGCGGCCGAAAAAACATCTGGATCTGTATGTAACATGCTGAATGTCATTGCCCCGAAAATGCAGCCCAGAAAAGGCCCAGATTTGTGATTAACTTGGTGAACATCACTGCTCTGAAAATCTGGCCGAAAAAACATCCAGATTTGTATTAGTGCAACAATGTCCGAAATTTTGGATGTAATTTTGACATGGACCAGACATCCCACAGAATACTTTGATGTCTGAAATTCTAGACTACAAAATTTTGTAATGACCAGTTGAACTCAGGCAGAACTCTCTCAATTCTTAACCGATTTCAATGTTCTTGGGCTCGTTTTGACAGGTAAACCCGTGAGGTTGTGGGTATGGGTACTCTACAAGTCGTGTATGGGCCACTTGTCTGATATCCATAGGTTTTTTAGTGTCCTTGATCATGAAAGAGTATATGGGTTCATGGGTCTATGGTTGAAGGAGTGAGAAGGGTGGACATTTGCCATTGCTGTATCATTGGTTTATTATGAATAAGTACATAGATTCAGGGTGCTATAGTTGAAGGAGTGATAACAGTGGGCATTTTGCCATTGCTTTCACCTTCTGTGTCACCTTTTCAACCATACATCCCCATGAACATATGTACTTATTCATTAGTGTCCGGTCTCCCAAACTTGAAAGTTTGTAGTCCACTTTTCTGACATATAATTTGTAGTGTCCTTCACTATGAATAAGTACATAGGTTCATGGGACTATCATTGAAGGAGTGAAAAGGATGGATGATTTGACATTGCGATATTTCACATTGAACTTTGTCATTCTCACTCCTTGGACCATATCTCCATGAACATATATGTACTTATATATAGTAAACCAATGATACAGCAATGGCAAAATGTCCACCCTTTTCACTCCTTCAACCATAGACCCATGAACCCATATACTCATTCATGATCAAGGACACTAAAAAAACCTATGGATATCGGACAAGTGGTGCACACATGACTTGTAGAGTACCCGTACCCACGACCCCATGGGTCTACCTGTCAAAACGAGCCCAAGAACATCGAAATCGGTTAAGAATTGAGAGTGTTCTGCCTGAGTTCAACTGGTCATTACAAAGTTTTGTAGTCTAGAATTTCAGACATCAAAGTATTCCATGGGTTGTCTGGCCCCTGTCAAAATTACATCTGAAATTTCAGACATTGGTGCACTCTACAGGGATTAATACATCTGAATGGAAATGACCCACAAAATTTTGGACTTCAGAGCATTCCGCAGGGGGTTGTCTGGTCCATGTCAAAATTACATCTGAAATTTCAGACATTGTTGCACTAATACAAATTACTAAATTTCAGACATTGGAGCATTCCATGGGGGCTGTCTGGTCCATGTCAAAATTACATCCGAAATTTCGGACATTGGTGCACTAATACAAATCCAGATGTTTTTTTGGCCACATTTTCGGAGCAGTGATGTTCACCAAGTTAATCACAAATCCAGACATTTTTTCGGCCGCATTTTTGGGGCAATGACATTCAGCATGTTAAATACAAATCCGGATGTTCACGTCCGCGGAGCTCTAGCTGGTAGCCCACAGGTGTAATGGACCAATGGGCTTAACAAATGGTGTGGCCCATGGGTACCACAGAAGACCTGTTAGCCTGTGGATCCAACAGAGCAACAAGTCATCTGCTGCAGGTGTAACACAATTGTTCATCCGCGGGTGTGACAGAACAATTGTTGGTCTGTGGGTGTGATGGAACAATCATTAGTCTGTGGGTGTGACAGATCAATTGTTAGTCCAGGTGTGACAGACCAACAGGCTTGACAAATGGCATGGCCTGTGGGTACCACAGAAGACCTGTTGGCCTGTGGGTCCAATGGAGCAACAAATCATCTGCCGCAGGTGTAACACAATTGTTCATCTGCAGTTGTGACAGAAAAATTGTTGGTCCGCGGGTGTGATGGAACAATTGTTAGTCTGTGGGTGTGATGGACCAATTGTTTGTCCGTGGGTGTGACGGACCAATTGTTTGTCTGTGGGTGTGATGGACCAATCGTTTGTCCATGGGTGTGATGGGACAGAGTTTTTGGTCTGTGAATGAGCCAAGCAACAGGTGGTCCACAGGTCTAACAAAAGCAGGCCTGGCCCACTGGTATAACAGAACAACTTTCGGACCAGGGGTGCAATGGAACAGGCAATCCACAGGTACAATGAAAGCAGGTAACAGAACTGTCATGGGCCTGAATGGCCCCTGGATGTAAGGGATGGATGGTCCACGGCTGTAATGGACAATGGTTGGCCTGCAGCTGTCCAGATAAACAGCTGGTCCATGGGGCCGGTTGTAACAAAACAAAGCCCCAACCCTGAAAATCCAAAGAATCATTGGGCTAACC